GTAGAGTAGGTCAGCAGGCATAGTATTCTAAGTAGGTTTTTGCATAGCTCAAGTGGTAATGATTTTTCTTCCCTTCCTGTAGGGTTACTATTGAACATGCTAGGGCTCGATCTAGAGGTGGAAGAGGTAGAGGACGCTACTCTGACCGTTTTAGTAGTCGCAGACCTCGAAATGATAGACGGTATGTGATGGATGGTGGATAGCTGCTTGGAATAATCATTGCTGTGGGCGTGTTTAATGTTTAAAAACTATCAACAGTAGTGATTCTGATATTTACCATATAATTCTATTCCTATGTTCACTTTCTGATAAGTCTGTATAATGAGTCATAAAATAATGCAGAGACTATAGATAAAGGTCCATTTGAATGGATTATCATATCTGATTGCTTTAACTTGCCCACAGTTGAACAGAGTAAGTGCACATTGCTGCATTTCTTCCATTTTGAGTACTCATTTTTTTCTTCAGAAATGCTCCACCTGTAAGAACAGAAAATCGACTTATAGTTGAGAATTTATCTTCAAGAGTCAGCTGGCAGGTTTGTTGAAATACAGTTTTGAGATATTTTAATGTGGCTTTTTAAAAATTAATGGGTAGCTAATGTTTTATTACATTTTATTAAAAGTAATTTATCTTAAATTAACTTAATTATAATTTAAAATTTTTAATTAAACGTAAATGGGGGAATATTTCAGACTTTAATTAATTAGTGATGAAATGTAAATGTTTTGAGGATATTTTTTCTTGTTTTTTAAAATCAATTTTAACCAAATATTAAACCCTTTATTTGCCAGCCTATCTGTGTCGTTGGCCTTATGACGAGGAGTGCCTGTGGGTTATCCTAATCGTTGTCTTGGTCACTCTTGGTTGGGCCTGGTTGACTTTTCCAGTCAGCTCCTACAGTGATCTATTGGCCACCTCTAGATCTGTGTTTGCCGGTCTAGACGTAATCGGTGCACTTACTTGAAGTGCCAGGTTGCAGCGATCCCAGAGCGTTGATAACGTGATCTGATTCCTAAGTTGAGAGCTGTCTCCTGTAACGCTTCCGAATAAGAGGTCCTGGTCGAAAAGAGTTGAAAGAGATACGAAATTAGGTGGTCGTTGGAATCCTGATCGCAGTAAAGTGGTCCTTGGTAACTGCACAAGAGTAGAACATGTCTGCATCCGCCACTAGTCGGCTAATAGGGAGGGCTGTGCGATTTAAAGGCTTCCATCGTTTGGGTAGTGTTCTTCAAGTGGGTGGCGAAGAGCCAGTCGGGCATATGTCATGAAGGTTTCTCCGACCGATTAATGGTTTGCTGCTTGACTAGCCTAGGGAAATAATAATAAAGGTAAAGTAAACTTTTTTAATGACATATGGGGCACAAAGTAACTGGTGTCTTGTAAATGTTCTGTTTTTAAATATAAAATTTCTATTTTAGTCTTTAAAAATATGTACTGTTTGTTTCTTTTGTTTGTTTTTTTTTTGTTTTGTTTTTTCTTTTGTATTGAGCTCAGTATAGACTAATACTACTTTAATGTTAAAATCTGAATTTCCTCTAGCATTTTGCTTAAAAGCAATATGCTATTTGCTTATTTCGTGCCCTGACAGATAATTTTGAATTCTGATAGAATACAAGTGTGGTAAATGCCATGTTTGTACTTTATCTAACATCTTCTCTTCCAGTAGTCTTGTTTTTATACCATGTGGTTGTTTGTGTGTCATGTTTCCTTTTCTGTGCTTAACACAATTGTCTTGTGTTAAGGATCTCAAAGATTTCATGAGACAAGCTGGGGAAGTAACCTTTGCAGATGCACATCGACCTAAATTAAATGAAGGGTAAGTATGTACTGAAATTATAAGTCTTTTCAAGTACCCTGATAATTGGGCTGTGAATATTTGAGTACTTAAAATTAGGACATGGTTGATTTATGGTTACTACAAGTGTTTTTTTCATTGTAGGGTGGTTGAGTTTGCCTCTTATGGTGATTTAAAGAATGCTATTGAAAAACTTTCCGGAAAGGAAATAAATGGGAGAAAAATTAAGTTAATTGAAGGAAGCAAAAGGCACAGGTATCTCTTTAATATAGCCAATATATTTAAAGTTTTATTTAATGGATTTTTAGAGTCTGCCACTTTTATTTTATTTTATTTTTTCTTCCTAGTAGGTCACGAAGCAGGTCTCGTTCCCGAACCAGGAGTTCCTCTAGGTCTCGTAGCCGATCTCGTTCCCGGAGTCGCAAATCTTACAGCCGGTCCAGGAGCCGGAGCAGGAGCAGGAGCAAGTCTCGTTCTGTTAGTAGGTCTCCTGCGCCTGAGAAGAGCCAGAAACGTGGTTCTTCAAGTAGATCTAAGTCTCCAGCATCTGTGGATCGCCAGAGGTCCCGGTCCCGGTCCCGGTCCCGGTCGAGGTCCAGATCAGTTGACAGTGGCAATTAAACTGTAAATAACTTGCCCTGGGGGCCTTTTTAAAAAAAAAAAATTCCCAAACCATACTTGCTAAAAATTCTGGTAAGTATGTGCTTTTCTGTGGTGGGGGGAGAGGGGAATTTGGAGGGGGGGTGGGTTGGGCTGGATATCTTTGTAGATGTGGACCACCAAGGGGTTGTTAAACTAATTGTATTAAATGTCTTTTGATAAGCCTTCTGCTCACATTTTTGTGAATGTCTGAAGTATATAGTTTGTGTATATTGATAGAGCTCTTTTATAACTAAAGCAAAATTTAATTTTTTTGTACTAGAAAAAATTTGAACATTTTAGTTCCTGGTTATTCAAATATGCTAATTAAGAATTAGTTTAATGCCACAGTTAAACTAATTGATAGCTTTGGACACTTAAAAGAGCTCTAAATTTGCTTGTACATAAAAGGCTTAATTTGAGTTTTCCTTGTTAGGGTTGGGTGTCCTCCCACCCGCCGTTTAACAGCTGCCTGGCAAAGACATAAAAGCAGCTGTTATTGATAATAAAAGATTATAAAACTGCTTTTGTCTGTTTGTCTGAGGAAAGTGTACTGTTTACTCCTCCCTCCTCATCTACATATGGCACATTTAAAATCCCTCAGAGAATCCTGGAGTTTGATGGGATTGGTGTTTTTGAAACTTAAAAACTTAAATGTTTCTGACAGGGTTTTCAAAAGATGGCGGGAGAAGTCAGGGAAGTGTTCAAAAATTGTGACTTTAATAGTTGTTTGACAGTTTCCCTTGTGATCTATGTTCCTTATCCCTTGACTTTGTTGTGTTGGCATCAGGTTACGTACGCTTCAATAGCTAAGGGAAGGACAGCTTAGGAAGCAAATTGTGAAAGTTAATACTTCATGTGTATCTTACAAGTAAGAATATTGATCACACACAGCTTTTTAAAAAACTACATGAATATGAGACATGGACATGACAATATGTGTTAAAGGGGAAACAAGTGAAAACTGCTTAAGGTTCTATATCTTCATTGTTAAAATTTAAAACTACCTGCAGGGAATGAGCTTTATTCTAGGAATCTCATATTGATGAGATTTTCATAGTCCACTGTTTGAGTGCTAGGCCAGATAAATGGTTAACAGTGGATAACGTAGACACTGTTCCATGTATTGTGCTTATTAAATTTTCGTAACTGTAACACTGTTTTACAGGAGTAAATTCAGGACCAAAGAGGAGAGCAAATAAATGGTAGATTGCTATTGGAACTTGGAAAGCCTAGTTCCAGGACGTTCAAACCACGCTTGTAGTGTAGGACTGATCTGCCCTGGCCTTGGAAGGGTTTTGAGGAAAGCAGTGGGAAGCATTTTAGCAAGATTACCTTTGGCTTCCCTTAAGTGGGGGTTTGGTAGCAGGATCTCCATATGTGGGTAGGTTTGAAGGGTTTTGCTGAACTTGGCTGAAAGCTCCTTTGTATCAAAAGACTACAGAATTTAAGCCATAAAATACTGATACTTCAACAGGTGGCTGATCATAGACTGAGTTTGTCTGGTATACTTAATTACTTGAATTGGGTTTATTTAAAATGTTGGAACCCAAAGGTGTTTCTTAGAGGATATCTGAAGGCTGTATGACGAGTCAGAAGTTAACTAACTATCCAATGGAGGGTTGTTTTTTTTTTTTTAATCCTTGGGCATTTTAAGTATAAATCGGTACCAACTCACTTTGTGTTTTTAACTTACCTACTCCTAAATAAGTAAATACTAGTGGCATAACCACTTTAATATTACAAACAGTTGTTAAGCAGTAAGGCAATAAGGCTCTTTGAAGAACTTGGCAGAGAGAGGACTTGTAGTTTATTTGGATATGTATGGGTATAATATGTAAAAATGACAAGCGGTACAACTTTTCACAAATCTGCATTTTTTAAGGGGGTGTTAGTGACCCAAATTGGTGATTCTTACACTTGTTCTGGTAATGGAGGTACTGATGATCCTGGGCATTTGCCAGACTGATGCCCTAAAACTGTCTTAAAGGTTTCAATTATACTTAATATTAAGTGATAGGAAAATTATAAGAAACAAGGCATTGTCTGTTGGCAAATAGTAGTTGTAAATCTTTCACCCAATGCATCTATGTGAGTGGGAAATGTTTAAATTTCATTGGAGAAAATTTGAAATTTAAGGATTCTGGTTTGAGAAACCACTCATTTTGGAATAGCTCGCAAGTACTCGAGTGTTGAGCAAGCATAATGGGAAAACAGCCAGTGGAGGAAGGGATAGATAATTAGTGAAATCTGCTGATAATTGTGTTTCTTGTTTACTGCCTTTTTCTTAAAAGTTTCCCCTCTATTTGGGATTGTATTCTCGGAAAGTGTCTGTTCTGTTATGGCTGAGTTTTTGAGTTTGTCTTGCTTAACTGCTTTGGCATTACCATGTCTGTTGTATACTTGGTGCCATGTTTCTGTTCTTAGCTCTTATCCAAAAAATGTCAAAAAGAGAAGGATCTGAATTTTTCAGGTTAGAAAAGACTTCAGAAATCTAATCGTCAAGCACTGTGAGCATTTATTTACCTTTTGGGTCTCAAAAATGAGAAGAGGATTTAGATACTTAGTTTTAGGGTAGAAAACCCATTTATTGGCTAGTTAAACAGTGCTTTTTATATGCCTCTCAGGCATTGTTTTGTACATGCAGGGGTAAAAGGCAATTTTGATTCCTGCCTTCATGGGGCTGCTAATAAGTATTTTTAAAAAGTGTCAATTCTGAACTGGTATAGGTGAGGCTCTTTGGGTAGACTCCCTGTCTTCCAGGCAAGGCTTGAAGCTGCTGATAGTTTCTTCTGGAAATACTGGTGGAAGACTGAGGCAAGACTGGTGTTCTGTCACCTTGTTCTGTGGTTGATCACAGTGGCTTTCTGAATGATTCTGACTAGAATCCAGGCCATGGGGTGACTGCTTGGCTGTGCAAGGCTTGCCCTCCTCCCCTTTGTGGGTGCCATTTCTCAGGACTCCTGGAGTTGTTTCTTCAGTTTTGGCAGCTGTATAGATCATTTTTCTTTTATCTGTAAAGTTGAGGAATGGTCAAAAATGGGAAGGAGAACAACAGAGTTAATACAACGCTTGTTCAGTGTGGGAAATGGATACCACTTCATCCCTAGGGTTTGCTGTCTTTTTGTTTTTTCCTTCATCTCATTGCCTTATCCCCTCCCATTAATGTTAAGTGTTGGGGAATTGCTCTGCCATCAACATCCTTGATGGTAATAATGTAGGTGATGTCTAATTGTTAAGAGTATTAATCACTTCCAACTTATTTGTGCATGCAATACAGTCAGGCAGTTTATGAAAGCAAAGTTCACTGTTTAATTCTGGGAGCAAGGAGGGGGCAGGGAGAAAAGAGCTTTAGGGGGCAGGCTTCCCAAGGAAGTTTCCATGCCCCTCCCTTACTGTGTTAGTCTACCTGTCTGCCTTCATAGAGGTGGTGAGCTGTGACATACAAGAGTCAGGGTCCATCTGTTCAGTTCCCATCTCAGAGAGGGTACAGGGGTCAAAAGCACAAAAGTGGATTATTCATCCTGAGCACTGCTGCATGGTCCTTTACAGTCCATTAACCCTAAACTAGGTTTTCACTTAGTTTTTTCACAGGTGGCTTCTGAGTGCACTGAGTGAACAACTAGTTAGGTGTTGATAGCTGAAGAATCATAATTACAGTATAGCCCCGGAATGCATCCTAGGTCTTCCTGGGACTAAGACTGAAAACCTGAAAACCTGATCAATTGATGTAAAAATGTCTCCGCCTCCCACATTTGAGAGAGTGGAGACTTAAGTGGGCAGTATATGTTTTTGAGTTGCTCTCATCAGACTAGATTGTTTTCCACAACTGCACAATAGTGTTGAGCTAGAGCTTATATCAAATGGTTCTGAAGTATGATCATCTACTTGTTTTTGGGTGTTTGATAACCAAGATTGCTAAATTTTAGCTAACTGTAAATTACATTGGTACTGTAAGACACTTCCATCAGGCGAGGTTGTCTTCTATCTTGTAAGTCAATCTCCAGGGTCTAGAAAAGGTCTTGAAGGGTCCCTCAATTAAGTTCTTGAGAAATAGACAATTGAAGGACTTGAGGGATTAAGAATATACCTGAGAGTTAACACTGAAGTGTTACTAAGTAAGGTTGATTTTCCTGGTTTGAAAAGACTCTTGCTGTTAAGGTCTACTCTGAGGAATTTACTGGGCTTTAGGTTTGATTATATTTCAAAGAGAGTGAAGTGCTGTGAGCATCTTATAAAAAGGGTGGGGAGCTATTAGGAAGTTACTCAGTAATCTAAAGTATAAATCCAGATGACTGTGATAGTTAACTGTTTAATAGACTGTACTGTGTAACCAGAGTTGGAGTCCTCCTCTTTTGGATTCTGCATTGCTTTAATGTTTCCCCTCATTTGGGGTGTCAGTGTTGCTAGGGCTCTGACAGTTTTAGGGTATGAAAACATAGTCTTAACACAAACTTACAGGACTTTTGTGAATATGGGCCTTTTGCACTAGTATCGTGCAATGATCTAATGTTCAAGGTGGTTCTGCCTTCCTCAACTTGAGTCCTACATGGTTTCCCCAGTTAAAGTAGGCAAAAATGGCCTCAGTCTTAGGAGGCTAAATCCATCCACAGTTGATTTTTCTGGCTACAAGGCAGAGATGGAGTGTAGATACTGGAAGTAGCCTTCCTACTTCTTGCTACATGGTTCCTAATGACTTGGTAATAAAAGTCCCATCCAAAAGGTTCTTGCTAAAGACTTGATTGTTGGCAGAATCAGGTCTAAAATGAGAGAACTCGAAAGTGATTCAGTACTCACCCTCGGCATGCTTGATTTTCTTATAGCACCGAAAGATGGCAATGAAGAGAAGCCCTTCTCCAAGCTGGAAAATCATGTAGAGGAGAGGAAAGAAAAAAAGTGGCCCAATGGCTTCAGGGGGGAAGGTCACATTGAGAATGGTGGAACATAGTTGAATATTTTGGCATCCGGTTTCCATGCTGACAGTGCGTCTGCTTCTGTGTAGGTTAAAAAAATCAATCCTATATTCTGAGGAGAAAGGTTATGACGGTGCATTTTCATGTGCCCATATCCTATTCAGCTAATCTTTTAAGACCCACTGAACAGTCCAACACAAATGCAAATGAGTCAGGTGTGTGGAGCACACACAGGTTTCAAGAGAAGTTGACTAATCTCAAAATTACCAGTTCAACCTGTGGAAGATGGTGAAGAATAGGTTCATGTTGGAGTTTTTAATAAAACTTGAGTAGCTTGGAGAAAATTGGGAGAAATGTTTGGCTCGTGAGGGGTAGGAGGAAGGTGAATCAGCTATTATTCATTGGCTTGTTATATTGGGCTTGCATATAAGAGAATAGAATTTTCAGCATGCAGTAGAAGAATGAAATGTCTGGGGATCTTATCCTGTCCCAAGCTTTTGGCTTAGGCATATTTCTAAAACACTATTAAAAGTACAAACTTAATTCATTATCATTGTTTTTTGGAGCACATTCTCTTGGTTTTGCTTTCTATGGAGCAAAAAGAATGGGATGTTTACATATAATACCCAGTTGAATTGCAGTTTGTGTTTTAAAAATAGTTAATTCACTTAAGCAAACCGAGGGCCATCCCAGCACGTTTATTAATGAGGGAGGCTACCGTGGTGGCACCTGATGATGTGGCCATTTATTAATGATCTGTATCACTTGTGAAAATTGACATTGAGTGGTGATTGGTAGCCTTTTGATTCTACTGTATAACCATGTATTACATCCTAATGTATTAACATGGCTTTGAAAATGGGTAACTACTTTTAAATTGTATTTTAAGAACAATTGAGTTTTTTGGGGGAGGGAGGGAATATCAGAGTGCTACTGATACTTAGACTTAACACATAAGCAATTGCCAGTTATGGCTGAAAAGAAGTTCCTGAAATGTACTTTACTGTATAGATAGGGTGCTTGATAGTCCCATCAGGCCCTTAAGTTGGCTGTTCCCAAAAAGTAGCAGCTGTGTTTGTGAGTTAGGTTAGGCGATAACAGAGATCCACAGCTGCTTCAGCTATTAGTGCCACTTAGCAGGGCTGTCACCCAGTGGTGTCCTTGTCAAGACTAAAGCTAGGTAGACAAGAAAAGGGGGAAAGGAAGAATACTTGTGATGACATGGAGCTACAGTGCCATTTAGCTGCCAGGGATTTGGACAGGAGATGGAATCTATATCTGGAGGGTGCACTTCGCCAAGAGCTATTGCTCTTTGCCTTTGGTCTCTTGGACTTGTTTCTAACCCATTCGATACCTTCCATCTCCAATAGTTCTCACGCTAGGAAAATACCTTCCCCAGATCTTGGATCTCATCCTTTTCCTGAGAGACCCGAGCAAGAATGAGGTCCATGGGACATAGGAATCTAAAGTAATACGTACCGTCCATTGAGCTGGAAGAGAGCAGAGAGGAGGTAACCCAGTAGGAAACCAATGAAAGGCATTAGGGAGGAGGTGGCCAGCAAGTGTGGTGTCATGACAAACATGATGCTCTTGCCCACATTGATGACAGAGAGTGCTATGATGGCCACAGCAAGCAGAAGCTTGATAATCAGCCCTCCCTGTGAATGAGGACAAGAAAAGGCAATCAGAAGGGGTAGGCTATGGAGAGAGGGGTGGAGGCCTGGAGAAGCACAGGTGGGCATTGGAGGTGGAAACACTGCAATTTAAAAAATGGGTATTTGAAGTAGAATGGAATATGAAATATCTTTTACATGTTTTCAGAATTACTGGTAGCTAGGAAGTTTCTTGGAGGAAAGAGACCTGATTAACAATTCTGTTAAAAAAACCCAGCTATTTACCAACAGCATTAATTTATTCAGGAGTGGTAGAGAGTCAAGCAAACTGGCAAACCAAAGACGAGTCTGGAGAACAGAGGATAGGAACTTGCCTTTGGGAAGGGCGGAAGCTGGGAGAGGTTTATTGAGTTCTCCTTGGCTGGTCTGGTCCTGGGCAAGAAGAAATTCTCCTTGCTGAAGTATAAAGTAAATTTACCTGTGCTGGGGAATGCATGGCATGCTTCTTAACTGCCATTGGTAGTACACGAGAGCTCCTCCTTTAGGCCTGCCCAACTCCATTTTAAATGAGGTTTCTTTCATTTTTACATTTCCCCATTTTGATCAAGCTCTTCCCTCAAAAGCATTGCTGATCAAGAATCCACATTTAGTGGTTTTGTCCCTTGGTGCCAGAAAGGACAGTTCATGAATGTCTTGTCCCATGTCAGAGAGAAAATGCATAGATTGGAAACCACTGGGGCCTCACCTGAGTACCAGGGAAGATAGGAGGGAGAATTATCAGGCATGCCCACATAAGGTCTACATCTTAACAAGGTTATAAGTGTTGGGAGATAACTCAGTGGTGGGCTAACATCACCTATTGGGTGCATCTCTTAATGTAGAGATTTGATAAGTAACAGGTATAAAGTTTAAGAATGATTATATTGCAGAATAGTGACTCCAGTTTGTATGTATAATAATAAAACCAGTAGCCCAGATTTGAAGGCAACCAGCTAAAGATCAATGGTCATCATCCATGGTGGTGATTGGAGAAAAGTTGAACCAAGATACAGGAACACCTTGCTGTAACAGCCTAATCTGATAGGTCTTGTGGTTACAATTTGGAATCAAAGAGGAATTGGTTACAGCTAAGATCCAGGGATCTCTAGCATTATGAATAGATAGGAATTTCTGGTGACAGATCCAACAGAAAGGGTACCCCCTTTTGCCACAGATATGGCCAAGAAAGAAAGGGAGAAAGATAAGCAACTGTAGGACAGAGGTATTACAGATTTGGTCTCGATATCTTAGGAAAACTGTTTCCTTCAATTGTTTGAAATTTAGACAATTGTTAGAATTCATAGTTTACCAATGGCTATTTTTTTTTTTTTTTTTTTTTGTGTGTGTGTGAATTGGAAATTTTATTACAGGGGGAAGAAATGCAATGTCTGAATCAAACATCAGCAATGTAGCTAGAGTGGGAGAGACTCAAGGATCTGTGAATCATATTTCCTTTAAAGGACTACCAATGGCTATTTTAAAAGTGAAAATAATAAATATGTTGTCTGTTTCAATTCCTGGAAATCCTTATTTTCAGGTCACCAATTGGTATGCTGGTCCAGTTAGGGTTTGGTGTTTTCTTTAGATGATGCTAGTCGAGTCCTTAGAGTTTGGTGACACAAAGGTTGGTTAACAGTACCTGTACCTGATAGGGGCCTTTCCAGTGGAGCTGAAGAGAGTCGTCTTTTCTAATAGATGAAATCTCTGGGCTGCATGGTGTGATGTCTTCGTCTCTTGGGAGTGTGCTGCAGAAAGATCATTCTGCTAAAGCATGGTTAACAATAGACTGGAGATTTAGAAGAATTAATGTCAGTGTCTTTAGTGCAGGTATTTGAAGGTCCTCTACAAATTTTGCCAGTTGAGTCTTAATGATGACATCAGTGCCTTTGACTAGCCCTGAGGATCGAAGGTGGTAAGTGCAGTGAAAGTGGTGCACAGCTAGCCAAACTGCACAGATCTATAGAAGCACTTGACCAGTAAAGTGAGTTCCCTTGTCACTGAAATTTGAAAGGGGTTCCCTGGGTAGAGATGATCATTACCAGTAGGATTTCAGCCATATAAGTAGCAGTAGCCTATCTAAAAGGCAAGGCTTCAGTCCAAGAAAATATAGACCATTACCAAGACATACTTATATATCCATGAGATGGGAAAGTAAAATGCCATTTGCCACACCTCAAATAGTTCATTAGGCAATTTAAAGTGGGAGCAGTACAGAAAGGTTTTCTTGAATTGTATTTTGGGCAAGCGGGGCAAGCTACATAGGCACACTTTGGGGCCTTGTTAATATTTTTCACCAGTATCGGTTTATAAAGGTTAGACAGTAGTCAGTAATGGGCACTTTAAGAGTTTCTGGCAGGACTGGATTATTTGGCCCAGGTGAGTTTTCTTTTTTAATTGAATTATGGTTATTAGATTTCCAAAATTGTTTTTCCTTCTCTGAGGTGGAATTCTAGGGCATCTCTAGTCAGTTTTTCTGGATTATCATTTGGGGGAACTTCCCTTTGATCTATGACAGGTTGGGCTTTTGGTTACTTTGTAAGCAGTGCTCTCTGTAGAAATATCAGCAAGGTGGTTTCCTTTAGCCCCCAGGGAATCATATTTGGAATGTCCAGGGGCTTTAATAATGGGGCCAAGTTGGCTGACAAGAGTATGGCATCTATTAATTCCTGAACAGAGGACCCATTTTTTTTCTTGCTGGATGTGAGGAAGCCTTGCCATTTCTATAGCATTCCAAAGTCACGAGCTATTCCAAGAGCATATCTACTGTCAGTTATAGGTAGTTGCAGTTTTGCTCTTTGCTAAAATGCAGGCCTGAGCAAGAGCCTGTTGGGCCAACATAGTTTAGGACAATGCCTTGGTGACTTCAAAAGGAATTGCAATAGCGTACCTAGCATGATATTTATTATTTTCACTTTTAAAATAGCCATTGGTAAACCATGAAGTCAGCATTGTCAGTTATGAGGAGTATTATCTGCAGAGGAGGAGAAAAGGGTGGCAGGATTAAGACTATTGCGGTGAAGTTGATTATTGGGATATCCAAGGGCGGGGGAACTTAACATGCTTTCTTTTAGGGCTTAAAAGGCCAAGTTATCTTGATCTTCCGAAATAACAGGGTTTTGGGAAGTTCAGGATCCATGAACTTTTTGGATCTGAATGTAGCCCTTGTTCTGAGATTAGGTGCCCCAAATATCAAACCTGAGTTTGAGTAAACTGCAAGTCCTGGTTGGAGACTGTCCCTTTAAGATTAAGAGCTCTAACAAGTGGCTGCTGTCATCCTGCTAAGAGGCTTGAGCATCTAAATAAACTTTTAAGGCTTGGGAGAAATCAGAGGGACTTTTGGTAAAATCCTGGGACATTGCTGTGCATTGTTTTCCTTCCTAAATAAAGGCAAAGAGATACTGGCTGGCCTTATCCCCAGGACAGAGGATGAGGCCCTAAGCCTTAACATCTTTTATGGGCTTGATGTTTTACAGCTGCTAATCCAATAGGAATAAATTAGTTATTATCCTTAAAATTAGCTCTAGTGTTGTTAGAGATAGAACAAATAAAAGATGCTGAAAGGTAATTTGATTCATTTGGTTGGCAATATCAGATTCTAGAGTTATCTCCCCCTTTTGGGAGAGAAATTCAGGCATGATATTTCTCCAAGAAATCTTGGCCCAGTAAATGAATAGGGGCAGAGGAATTAAGGACAACCATTTTAGTATTCTGAAATAGGTGCTGTTTAATAACTGGGGTCATACACAGTCTGGAGTGTTATTTCTCCAAGCCAGTGTTTTGCCTGAGGGGAACTGTCCCCAGGCAAGTTCATCGTAGATCTGGTGAGACCAAATAACAACTGAACTGTTAGGGAAAAAGGGTTTATACCAAGCTTTATTCTTACAATAGTGGGTTGAGTACTGGAATCATGTCTTCCTCTGGGACATTCGCAATCCATCTCTGTTTTTGCCTGTGGCCAGAGCACTCTGTGGAGCTCTTTATCTAGTAACACCAACAACAATGGTTTATAGCCAAAGGGTGTGTAAGCATTAGCCTAGCAGCAGGCCAATTACATCATCAAGTAGATTAGGGTCAGGAGAGAATCCTGACCATAGGAACTTCCATTTTCCCTACAGCCAGTCAAGTAGAAAGATTGGGAAAAGCCCCTGTAGTTCCTCAGAGTCCCATAATTAGAGAAAACCTGGAGGACTGAAGGTGTTTGGAGCACTTCAGTTTGTAACCACTTTCTTCCAGTGCCCTGGATTTTTGCAGTAATGGCAAAGACCAGGAAGAGTTTAGTTTTATTTAGGGACCTCCATTTGTTGTAGTTGAAAATTAAAGGATTAGTGTTCTTCCTTTTCATTGAATCATCTAGGGTGCAGGTGAGCTGATTTGCTAAATTAACTAAATCTGAAGTGGACATAGTTTCTTGTTTCATTCTGGTCTTTTTATTAGAAGGAAAAGATCCTGGTTCAACCCATTAATGAACAAAGAGGCTACCCGAGTGGATTCAACATCAATAGGAAGGTGTGGAGAAAGTGAAGGTTCCTATGGCCAGGATTCTCACCTGGCTCTGGTACGCTTGCTCACTACACATGTGCGGGCAATACGCTGTTACTGACTCTATATAAAGAACTCTGTCCAGTGCTCTGGGCTGCTGCAAGGCTGCAAGAGAGCAGAGACTGGAGTGGTGGCAGCACCGAGGACAGAGACTGAGCTGGCTGCAAGGGCAGAGAGGCCCAGAGGTAAAGACCTGCTTGCTGCATGCAGATTTGCTCTGAATGAAAGGGATTCCAGTGATTGATCTGCCATCAAGGGAATAAAGTTGGGCATAAATCCTTTCACCCTAAGAACATTCCATTGTCGTTTTTTTGGTCTCATTTGAATCCATACTTTGAAGGTTCCTATGGCCAGGATTCTCACCTGGCTCTGGTACGCTTGCTCACTACACATGTGCGGGCAATACGCTGTTACTGACTCTATATAAAAGAACTCTGTCCAGTGCTCTGGGCTGCTGCAAGGCTGCA